TTGACATCCTTCGAGATCTCGGCCTCAAGGTGAATCTAACCAAATCACATCTCAAACTCTCTCAAGATGCCACCTACATTGTAGCCCACATCAATTCACTGTATGCCAGAGCCTTTCTTCCACAAGAAAGAATCCTCAAACTAAAAAAGGCTATTCAACCCTTCTGACCTCTAGCCTTGGTATCAGCCCATCATGTCCAACATCTTCTCAGACTCATTGCCTTGACAAGTTCAGTCATACAACACGCTCAACTCAAAATGAGATTACTTCAATTGCGGTATCTGTCTCTATTCGATCCCATGTCGGATCACCCATCTATGCATCTAACTGTAACACCAGAACTCTTATGTCAACTTACTTGGTGGACGTTTCTCCTGAATCTCCTTGTTGGACGACCCTTTTTATCTCTTCAACCGATGATACAAGTTTTCACCGATGCCAGCCCATCTGGTTGGGGAGCACATTATCTGCATCACAAGATTCATGGCCTATGGACAAATCAAGAAAAAATTACACATCAATCATCTCGAACTTTTAGCAATTATCAAGGTGTTCCACGCTTTCCTACCACTTATCGCAGGACATGCAGTATAACTTGTTACGGACAATACGACAGCCATTTACTACATAAACAAACAAGGTGGCACACATTCCCTATCCCTCCTATACCTGACTGTCAAGCTATAGGAATGGTCTTACGTACATCACGTATTCCCAATAGCAATCCACATAGCCACAGAAGAGAACTCCCTCGCAGACTACCTCAATTGCCTGACATTGAGGACACACAAATGGTCCCTAAACAACACCATCTTCTATCTCCTGTGCGACCATTGAGGCATTCCTACCATCGACATCTTTGCTTCTCGAGCAAATGCCAAATGCCAACATTACTGTTGTCGAGCCGGTGTCGACAAGAACTTGTTCGGAGACGCATTCACAATAGACTGGGACAAGGACCTACTCTTATTTCCTCCCAGACCACTCATACAAAGGACCATCATTCGACTCCAACACTTCCAGTCGAATGCAGTCCTCCTCGCCCCATGGTGGCTGAGACAACTGTGGTTCACCTACCTCAGGTCGATGTCAGCCGACTCATTCAGACTCCCTCTGATCCCCAGTCTTCTCACTCAAGACGATTACCACCCAGACATTCCATCTTTGAATCTGACAGCCTGGAGGATACTCCCACCATAAAGGCCGTGCTTGATTGAGCTCTTGACCCAGCTCCTATACCAAAATTAAATAGAAAGCATTCCTGTACTGACTCTCAGAACTTACCTGCAACACCAGTTTCTTTGAAAACTTTACTTACCTTTGTCCTTCATCTATTCCATTTTGGATTGTCCTACTCCACTTTGAAAGTGTGTATCTCTGCTATTGTAACTCATCAACCTCCCAACTCTAAATCAGCTAAACTTTTTTCTCACCCAGCTGTAAAAAGGCTTCTTAAAGGACTCAGCAATATTTGTCCTCCGCGGCCAAGGTATTATTCCTCAATGGTCTGTACAACTTGTTCTCAATACACTCATGCATCCACCCTTTGAACCTATGGCTGCGTGTAGTCTCAAATTACTATAATTGAAAACTTCCTTTCTTGTAGCAATAACATCTGCTAAACGGGCTAGCGAACTTGCAGCCCTCTATTCTGCTCCACCCTTCCTTCAGTTCCATTCGGAAAAAGTCATGCTGTACTTTGATGTTTCCTTCATACCCAAAGTTGTATCTGAATTTCACCTTAATCAACCAATTATTCTACCAACACTCTTTCTGTCACCATCAACACCTCTCGTGCACATGCTCCACAAACTTGATGCTCTCTCGCCTTCTACATTGACAGGACCAAGCCTTTCAGGAAATCACACAGACTGTGTTTTCACGTTCCTCACAAAGGGGGCACCATCTTCCCCATCATCTATTTCTAGATGGATTGTTCAAACTATATCAGTGGTGTATGAGTTATCAGGCAAATCACCTCCTGAACACTTAAAGGCACGCTCCACCAGAGTGCTGTCAACATCCACTGCCTTCCAGCATGGGATTGAACTCCCTCACATCTGCCATGTGGCCGCATGGTTTACTCCATCAACCTTTATCAGACATTACCGTTTGGATGTCAGAGCATGGTGTGATGCTGGTTTTGGCAGAGCTGTCTTGGCATCCTTTCTACCATGACGTCCCACTGTCCGGTAAGTGAGCTTGCTAGTTGCCCAATTGTGTGCATTCACAGAGGCCATGAAGAAGAAATAGAGGTCACTTATCTGTAACCATGGTTCTTCTAGTGGTCCTCTGTGAATCCACACATCCCACCCATCCTTCCCTCTGTCCGTCACGTTTCATCTTAAATAGCTCTTTTACCCGGCGGACACTTTTCAGGAACTGAGGGGACCTAGGATGGGCGCAGCATGCACTCCATGGGGGAATGTCCCACTAATCATGTGTCTTTAAGCTCTAGAAACTTCCGAGAGGCTCAGTGCAGACACAGAACAACCCAGTTGTGTGGATTCATAGAGGACCGCTAGAAGAACCATGGATACAAGTAGGTAACCTGTCTTTTATGTATCTAGCTGTGGACCCAGAGGTTGGAAGTTCAATTCCCTACTGTGCTACTTGACGGGCTGCTTTTGATGATCCATAGGGTCACCTCCAGGTCTGCAGTTCTAAGATTATTATATTAAATATAAACACATTCAATAATTAATTCCTATGGTATTTTTGTTAGATGTGTGGCTGTTCAAGAGGAAATAAAAGGACATTACATACATATCAAATTTTATCTGTCACACACTAGCCCAATTAAAAAAGAAAAAAAATCAAGGCTATAGCCTGTAAAGGTTGTGAATCTGGGTTCCTGTTCTACAGACCTAATCCAAAGGTAAAATCTCCACATGGAAAAGATAAGAAGTTATTGTTGTCTTGATGAAGAGTTGCTTGTTTGAAATGTGACAGCAACAAAAACATGAAATTTTAGTGCTTTGCAAATGTGTTGTCTCGTGTCCTTAGTACCTTGTTAGGACTCCATCCCTTTCTGGTCTACAGTTGATGTTACCTTCTTTCTCCAGTTCTCTTAAGTCTCCTTTATCAACAATTCTTGACCTAATTTTATCAGTCTAAATTCACCAGTAAACTTTGTGAGGAGGAGATGAGTAATCTGTATACTGAACTGCATATGGTAGTAGTGTTCGGTCGTAAGTTCTTAGATAGATGCTACTTTAAAAGATTTTGGAAGAAGTTGAAGAGATAGTAGGGATTTTCTATAGCAAGTATGTAAAAGCCAATTCTGACTTCTGTATAAGATCCACTTAAGAGTGGAGATCCACTCTGTATAAGATCCACTTCAGAGTTAACTGGTGGTAAATGTGTGAGTTGTGGGTAACTATTTTGCATAGGGGATACCTTGTATGAAGAGTTCCCTGCCTCAAACTCTGTAGACTTGTTTTAATATCAGATTAAGCTGCCATGTTACCATGTTTTGATTTTATTGTTTCATAGATTTTTAATATTTTAATTGTATTTTAATCTTTTTATTGTATTTTAATTGTTGTAAGCTGCCCAGAGACCTTTGGGTAGAGTGGGCGGCATATAGGATGGATGGATGGATGGATGGATGGATGGATGGATGGATGGATGGATGGATGGATGGATGGATGGATGGATGGATGGATGGATGGATGGATGGATGGAAATTTAGATTTTAAAATGATAGAGGCTGAGAATAGTATGTTTCAATAGCACTTTAAAACTTGCAGTAAGTGCCACTTCATATTTGTATGTTTTCTTCAACAAATACACAGTGACATGATGATCTTGTTTCCAGATATTTCAAACAAACGTCATTCCTCTATAAGAAATAGGTTTGCTTTGTGGGGCACAGAAGTCTTTGTTGTTGCTTTGTTAATCTGTTTTTTTTAAAAAAAATATTTGTAATCTGTCAAAATAATTCCAGTTATAGTGTGGTTCAAAAGTAAAATAAATGAATGTAAGAACACAAACCTTTTAATGGTATGGATAAATTTTGGAAGATCTGATCAATATAAGCAACCACGTGTCTAGTTTCCAGTTACTTATGTATATTCATGGAACAGCGAAGGCTAGCTTTTTAAAAACCCTCCTATTTTTTGGTGTTTGGCACTCCTCAGTCTTGTCCAGTCCATTTTAGTGGTAATCCTGTTGTGACCTTGGACATTCAAAGGCTTTTGGCATCAGGAATGGCTTAAACCCACACTTTTCTGAACCACGGGCCGGGGGGGGGGGGCCCGTGGCGGGGGGGGGGGCACCCTCATGCTCGCAGATGGGTGGGGCGTGCTCACGGAGGGTGGGGCGTGCCTGCACGGAGGGACGGAGGGGGCCCATGCTCATGCGTGGAGGGGTGGGGTGCTGTGTGTGCAGGTGGGGTGCATGGAGGGAGGGGTGGGAGATCTGTCTCCATGGCCCAATCTTGCCCCATGGACCAGGGATTGAGATGCAAGGAAACACACACATTGTTGTGTTGTACACTGGACCTTTGTGAACTGGAAATGCCTATTCTCATGGTGGCTTGGCTGTCCCTATTTCAGACTTCAACCAGAAATATGGTTGCTGCTTCCCTGTATCAGTTTGTAAGTGGTGGGTTCCTAATTCTCTATCTAGCTTCAGTATACAGAGAAGGATGTCAGGTGTGGATGCTCTTCCCTCCTCCTCTTCCTCCCTGGCTACGTTTTCCCTTAGCCTACCTCAGCAATGAAGGCAGAGAAAGCAGCACAAGGAAGTGGTTGATGAGAAAGTATATAGTGGAAGGGTCAAGAATTTGTTGTCTACCTTTTCTCTGCATATCAGGGATATGGTACCTTGTTCTGAATTGTAGGTGAAATTAATACTACCCCAGACTACAGCTTTTATGCTAGGTTATAAAACCTACACAAAAAAAGGGAGTGTAAATATTGAGTGGGATTGATCTGCTCTTTACGGGTGTTTTAACTCCACTTAAACGCTAATATCAAGTATTTTCTTCCCTCTAGTACTTTTGTCCATCTGTTCTCTGTTGTGTGATCCCAATCCAGATGATCCCTTAGTGCCTGAGATTGCACGGATCTACAAAACAGATAGAGAAAAGTGAGTATGGAAGCCAAACATTCTAAAACTGAAGAAGAGACAAGCAGTAGGAAGGTTTGCAATAGGAGATATGTGCCCTTAAACTATGGCAATCTCTGTGTATTTGACACCAGAGTCATCCTTCCCTGTTAGAAGGTACCATCTGCTTCCATTGGCAACTTTGCATTTATATTTCCAGCTTGAAAAGATTTGATATTCTCACCTGGACAGGTTAATCCAATAAAAGTCTGGTCAATGTCATCTATACCTTTAAATGTTACTATTTTGCAGTTGCCTCTCTTAGGTCCTTCAGTTTCTGCTTTTAGGCTACAGAGGGAGGAACAACTTTAAACTTCTGCCACAAGAGAACCTTATTCAGGTGGTGGTAGGTGAACTAGTTTGGCTTCATGAATAGCAGCAGTAGTATGTAGATCCTGTTGTAAAGAGGATTCTTGAGGTTCCATTTTAAAGGAATTAGTTTCCACTTTCTGGTATAAATGAATCATTCCACTTGAGTCGTGTCTACTACAGTGTGGAACAGAAGCTTTCTTTAATGGGCTGAAATGGGTAGCATTTAGCAGAATCTGAAAAAAGTGGCTTTAGCGTAATGAAATTAGGCACACTGAAATCTGATTCTTTCAGTAGTTACCAAGGGAGTAGTAAAAGTGGCAGACTGGTGTTATAAATGAGAGCTTGGAATATTATCTTGAACATTTATGCTGTGTTGCATATGCAAACTCGAGAACATGTGTGTTCAGTAATATTTACTTTGTGTCTTTGAAGGAATTTTACTATATCTACTGGGCACCCCATGAATGATCATAAAGTGTCAAAAAATAATTGGAGCGAAATCTAAAGTCTAGGATGTGTTGTTTATATATTGTTTTCTGAAACTGACTTGGGACAAACAGTTCATTGCAGGACTTTTTGCTTTTGGGTTTTTTGGAGGATTCTATTCAGAGAGAATTCATTCAGAACTTTTGAACCTGTATTCAGATAGCATTGCTATAGAGGCTTTTATTTTTGTTAACTTTGTAACCCAGTTGTTTACCTATCTGCGTAAGATGCTTGTTCAGTGCTAGAATATTATGACTAATGTCATTGTAAGAAAGTGCTTCTACTACTTGATGAAATGTATTCCTCATTAACCATGTTGTTTTATGTGTACAGGTACAACAGAATAGCTCGAGAATGGACTCAGAAGTATGCGATGTAATTAAAGAAATTATTGGATAACCTCTACAAATAAAGATAGGGGAACTCTGAAAGAGAAAGTCCTTTTGATTTCCATTTGACTGCTTTCTATGAGCCCACGCCTCATCTTCCCCGTGCACATGTTTACCTGATACAGCAGTGCTGCGTGTTGTACATACTTGGAACAATGAAATACTGTATTCCATACCAACATTGACTCCTAGCAAAGAAATGTGTGTGAAAAGCCAGTTCTTCATTCAAAGCCTAGTTGTGAGCATAAAAGCATTCCTAAAAGATTTAAATTGGGCACTAAAACCGAACGTGGTGGTGGTGGGAAAAGTAAACACGTTTCTTGTCATCAGGGCTTTCAGTAATTCAAAAGAAGTCTTTTTAACAAAGTGGAATCCTTTTAAACTCATAACTCTTATGAAAAACTGATATGAAGAACTTAAACCTGTTTCTGTATTTTATTCTGAAGGACCTTCTGAGGTAAATGTATGACCAACAAGATCAAAATGTACCCACATCCTGTGTTTAAAGGTCTAAGTTTAACTGGTCAGCATTTAAAGGCACTGGAGCTATTAGTGCATCAAGTGATGTTGATTTTGTTTCAACTCTTCTTCCCCTCCTCTCCTTTCTCCCTTCATAATTTTGGTTTGTATGTGTTTTCTCAGTTAACATAGCTAATAGCTCTTATTTTCTTAAGTTTTTAATTGCTTAGGTCTTTCTGGATGTAAGGGTAAAAATTCATTTGACAGACTTGTGTATATTTAAAGACCCAGCTGCTCCCTTGGAGCTTGTACGTTCAAGAATGATTAATCTGTGTAATAAACTGATTACTACAGTCATTACATATAACTGTGTGAATAGGCTTAATTTTTTTTTAATAGGCTAAGATTTAAAAGCAAACATTTTGCCTTTTGGATAGTTACATCTGAGAACAGTGAGTTTTCAGGGTTTCATAATAAAAGGCTGTGCCTCAGGAAAAACAGGTCAGTGAGACAGATTCCAAATAGTGTTGTGAAAAGTACTACCTTCCATGTTAAGTTTACTTACTGGGAATCTGGATGTTCTTATGTCAGAACTTGACTGTTAAAAAGCCAGATAAGCATGGAGTGCCATTTCATTAAGTTCTGCTTTGCATGGGGCTAAATCTATGCCTATGTATTCTAGATAAGAGCTACTTTATATAATTTCAAAAGTAGGTTTAAAAGGGTAAGTTTTTACCAGATGCATCAGCACAAACTGCCAAAAAATGTAGTATTTAAAAATTACAACACTAAACACTTGGAAATGTTCACTGTATATGTATATCTTTGAACAGCCTTCATTTGAAAATTTATGAATATGTCATCTGAAGTTTTTAAAAAGTGTGATGTCCCCTGCCCCAACTCCTGCCAATTTTAATGCGAACAGGCTAAATCTGCAGTGGAGAAAATGCTTAGCTCCATCTCTTCCTGCCACTGTGCTTCACCCCATCTATATTCAGATAAGCTCTTGCACAATTCAGGAATAAATGTGCAGTACTTTTTGTTTTATATTTGTTCCCTTTGTGTGCTCTTTTAATGTTCCTTTCTTGTGGATCTCATATGTCTGGAGTTTTCTGCTGTTACCGTTTCTGTGGAAAAACATGTAGGTTTAAACTGCTTTAGTTGCCAAGAATGTGAGATATGGTTATAATCAATAACTTTAATATTTCAGTTCTCACAGTTTTTACATCCTGCCTCCCAAATTTGCCAGAGCACCCACCATATTTTTACATGTTTGGACCTTTATGTATGTATTTTAGTGCTCACAACAGTCCCTAAGACTCCAGTAGTACTTAGTATTGCTGGTAAGGCTAACAAAGTTGTGACTTGCCTGGTGGAGGAGTGGGCTGAACCAGAATTCTGAACATGCAGCTTGCTTTTATCATGATTAATGGCCATGAGTTACTGTAGGTTTGCAGTGAGTCGTGCATGTTTCAAGTTGTGAGTAGGTGTAAATCAGGTGGCAGCCTATACTTTCATAATAATATGCCAGAAGGATACAAAAAATGAAAACAAACCTGGCTCACAGGAATTACTAACTTTTTCAAATGCATAACTGCAGTTTCTGAAAACGGATGCCACCAACTAACAATGTCCTCTGTGCGTCCAGTTTTCTTCCTTTTAATTTATATCATGCCATCTGTGCATGTGACACTCCTCAGACAATGAGAAAGTTAGCCTCCAGGAGTTATTTATTTATTTATTTATTTATTTATTTATTTCTTGCTTATTTTATTAGCTTTATATACTGCCCCATTAGTGCAATGTGCTATTCTGGGTGGTTCACAACAAGCAGAATAATAGATAAATAACAGACGTATGAAATTATAAAAACAAAACCATTACCATGAACATAATATAAATGCACTTTTCTCCGTTCGTCCCAGGTGGCTTGCAATCTAACACAGATGCAATACCTTTTTGTTTTACTTAGATGTACATTTAATACCCTAACAGCCTTTAAGTATTTGAGGCTGAAATATTTAGTATAATATCAGAAGAGAACAGGGTAGGCTTGGGTTGAACTCTGTACTCTCAGCCATGAGGCCCACTATGTGACCTTTGGTCAATCATTTTAGCCTCAGTGGGATGCTTACTGTGTCCGCACTCCTTTTCTAAAGCATCAAACATATTTAATAAGTATAACATATCAAATAAATTCACTCATAAGTGAAATATGCTGTTTGGGTCAGGGGGTAATTTTCTGAAATGCTTTTTGATTATTTTGCAATTGGATTTTTTTCCGAAAACTCACATCACTATATACAAGGCAGATGGTAGAAGGAAATGGAGACTGAGGCAAATAATATGTAGTAATATCAGTCACATGGTTGCATAGGTTTGGACAATGCTAATCGCCTGTGTCATATTTTATTAGATCATCCAAATTCCCCACCTGTGCCAGCCAGCTGTGCTGTGTATGGGCCTAGAAGATATGCAGATGTGTGACAATACAGTACAGATAAATCATCTGCACATTGAAACAGGGAGGTGCTTTTTCTGCTGTATGCCAGTGTTGTCTATTCTACTGACACTACCTCTAAGTATCTCTCTCAAGAATTATCCATAGTGTCCCAAGCACATGCAAGTAAAGTGAGAACAGAAAGTATGGTGAAAAGTGTTGTGTAATATATTCAGGTGTCATCAGATCAGGATTGCAGGTTTTAAGATTTTTGCCCAGGTATGAAAAATGTGAGGAAGGTATGGTGACAAGAAAATATGGCAAAGCATCATACGAACTGCAGGATTTCTTTTTCTGTCTCTTCCAAAATAGGGATAAGATCATAGACATGCAACAAAATTGAAGTGGAATTCTAGAACATAATCAACTGAATTTTGACACTTCCAAAAATAACCCCTTTGGCTTCCTAGAGCTCATCAAATACACTTTCAAATGTGTCCTTGCAGCTTCATAGTCAGGGATTTGCTTTCTAAAAAGATGTGAATGAAGCAGAACTCTGCACTGTTCTTTGTTTCTTATCTAATTCATGGAAGATAGAGCTTGGTGATGGGGAAAGAAGGATGACACAGTTGGAGTGCTGCCACTTACTCTGTTAGATCAGCACTATTGGAGGCATAAATCTAAAGGGACCTGTGGCAATTCAGAGTCTTCTATTCAGGTGACTGATGGGAGCATACAATGATCTTCATCTGCTGCAGTGATGGACAAAGTGTACCTGTTGTTGGGACTTCAACTGACCATCAGTGTCTTTGCCTTAAGAGCAAATGCCAAGTGCTGAATTTACTGTTCTTGACCCAGAGTCGACAAGAACTCCATGACAGGCTGGGACAATGGTCTACTTTGTCTCTTTCCCCCAGTACCAATTTTGCAAAAACCAATCATTCGATTCCAACACTTCCAGTCCAGTGCAATCCTTCTATCTCTGTGGTGGCCAAGTCAACCGTGGTTCATTCACCTCAGGTCCATGTCAATGGACTCATTCCAGCTCCCTCTGATTCCCAATCTCCTCATGCAGGATGACAGGATGATCTACCATCCAGACGTACCATCTCTGAATCTGACAGCCTAGAGGATCCTCCCGCCATAAAACATGTGCTTGATCGAGCTCCAAAGCCCTCGACCTAGCTCGTATATCAAAATACATGGAAAGCATTCCTCTCCTTCACTGAATCAACAACTTACCTGCGCCACCAGTCTCCTTGAAAACTTTACTCACCTTCCTTCTTGATCTCTTCAACTTTGGACTTTCCTACTCCACTTTGAAAGTGTGTATCTCAGCCATTATTGCTCATCAACCTCACAATTCTAAATCAGCTAAACTCTTCTTTCATCCAACTGTAAAAAGATTTCTCAAAGGACTCAACAATATTCATCCTCCACACCAACGTATTATCCCTCAATGGTCTCTACAACTTGTCCTCAATATACTTATGCATCCACCCTTTGAGCCTATGGCCACATGCAATCAAAAATTATTGTCATTGAAAACTTCCTTCCTGGTAGCAATAACATCCACTAAATGAGCCAGTGAACTCGCTGCCTTCCACTCTGATCCACCTTTCCTCCAATTCCATCCAGACAAGGTCATGTTGTACTTTGATGTTTCCTTCTTACCCAAAGTTGTATCTGATTTTCATCTGAATCAACTAATCATCTTACCAACTCTCCATCACCATCAACACCTCTCGAGCGCATGCTCCATTCACTCGATGGAAGATGCTCTCTTGCCTTCTATATTGACAGGACCAAGCCTTTCAGGAAATCAGACTTTTTCCTTTCATGGTCCTCACAAGGGAGCTCCAGCTTCCCCACAATCTATTTCTAGATGGATCGTCCAGACCATCTCATTGGCTTATGAGTTATCAGGCAGACCACCTCCTGAACATTTAACAGCTCACTCCACTAGAGCACTGTCAACATCTATTGCCTTCCAGCGTGGGATTGAACTATCTCACATGTGCCGTGCAGTCATGTGGTCTATTCCATCGACCTTTGTCAGGCATTACTGTTTAGATGTCAGAGCATGGAGTGACGCTGGTTTTGGCAGAGCTGTCCTGGCATCCTTCCTCCCATGGCATCCCACCATTCACTAAGTGAGCTTGCTAGTCACCCAATTGTGTGCATTCACCGAGGCCACGAAGAAGAAAAAGAGATCACTTATCTGTAACCATAGTTCTTCTAGTGGTCCTCTGTGAATCCACCCATCCCACCCGTCCTCCCCTCTGTCCATCACATTTTATCTTAAATAGTTATGTTACCCGGCAGCAGTTATCAGGAACTGAGTGGACTTAGGATGGGCGGGGCATGCGCTCCACGGGGGAACGTCTCACATGTCTTTAAACTTTGGAACCTTCGAGACATTCAGAACAGGCACAGAACAACCGAATTGTGTGGCTTCACAGAGGACCACTGGAAGAACTATGGTTACAGATAAGTAACCTCTTTTTTTGGAAGACTTGTTTCTGGGTCCTCAGTCTTTTGAGGCCAGTTGAGTACCCATGAGGTCAGGTGGTCATACAGAATGACTGAAATGGGGAAGGTGAGGAGGCATGACCATCCATAAAATAACTTCAAGGTTGACACTGCCGTACAAGAAATACTTGGTTGCTCAGAAAACAAACTGATGACATAATAGAATGTAACTTGTGTAAGTACAAAGAGCGGTGGCATCTGAGTCCTCAAAAAGACACTTGAACACCCAGTTTTTCTTTTCTATCACCATTTTTTCAGAAAACAAACAGATGAAGCTCAGGCCGATAAGCCTGCATTAAGATAAAGATAGAGCAATTTTAAGTAAATGAACAACTTTCCATAACCAAATTGCCATTAAATATTACTGTCAGGTAGCTATATACAAATAAGCAAAT